CCTTAATCATGATGCATTTTTAGCCAAGGATGGGTAAGATGTCCCATGACAAGCACTCCTAGACAGGACATGCACATGGCCAGGTGCATGGTCCAATGACAGGCAAGGCTTGGTCAGAGGTGACACAACCTAAGACAGGCAAAAATGCATAAGATTAGAGGAAGGAGATAGCCATCTCTCCTCAGGGAGCCGTCTATGAGATGGGTAACCCGTGAAATAAAGTCAGTCTGGCCTTAAAATAAAAATAAAAGGGGGATATGTGGGGACCTAAAGGCCCCGCCTTGCAGAGGTCCAAGGGGAAGTTACTGGGGCACCGCCTGACTTGTTTTGAAAGTCTGACAGAGTCTTCCGCATTGCTGAGGAGTGTATGATCAGCACTTGATCATCCTTAAGATACACCCTCGGAGGGAGGGGGATTTCCAGATGCCTTTATAAGCTCTGTAACACTTGCAATAAATGAGTTCCTGCTTTAGACTCCCCATTGCATCTGATTGTTCCCGGTGCTAGGGGTGGCAAGGCTAGTGAACGGCGCGCTTACTCATCCCCAGTCATCCTCATGCAGGGGTTGCAGGCTCGAACCCCCCGCAGACATCAATTATATGTCTTCTCAGAATAATGTGCTATATATGCATATAAATAACATTTTAGCATACATCTTTTTAGCCTTTTAATAATATTTATTGAGGCTCAAAGAAATCTGTCTGTGGAAATCAAACTATTCTTTGAGATTGCTTTATGCTTAGGAAAATGCTTCGACAACTCAAAGACCAGGTTAACAGTCACATAGTTCTTCTCCACTAATAAAAACATGTTCTTTCTCTCATAAATATAAAAGTGGTAAGTGCTCATTGAAGAAAGCTTAGAAAATTCAGAAATTTGTGAAACTGAGCAGTAGTGATTCCCATTTCTCAGAGATAAACACCATAAACCTTTAGGGGTACCCTCCTTAACTTTGAAATTTCATAACCTTATGCACATATAACACACACACACTGGTTTCCTTATGCACATATAACACACACACACACACACACAGAGATGTCTTTACATTGTATTCAATATTTTTATACATACTATTGACATATGTGCCAGTGTGTTAGGTACATTTTTTTCATGACATGAGTTAGTCCTGTAAGCACTAATTGCTGCCTAACACTCTGTTGTGCTATAGAAGTACTTTCCTCTGGTACTGGGCATTTAACTAGCTCGTAACTGTTAATTCTTTAAGCTAATGCTATAATGAGCATCCTCTGAACATAAAACTCAATGCTTCTCTGAATATCTCCTGAAGGAGATTCATAAGAGTGGAATTTTTAAAATCTATTATTTTTATTTTATGTGTATGCATGTATTGCCTGCATGTAGGTAAGTACACCCATGTTGTGCAATGCCCGTGGAGGTCATAAGAGGCTATCGGATTGCCTGGGACTGGAGTTACAAACAGCTGTTAGCTGCCACGTGGGATGCGAACCCAGGTCTTCTGCAAGAACAACCGGTGTTCTTAACTGCTGAGCCATCTCTCCAGCCACAAGAGTGGAATTTTTCAAAGTCCATAAAAGTTTTTGAAACTTCTCATACACATGGACACGTCCTCTAGAAACCTGATTCATATAGCCATTCTGAGACATGAAACGATACCCTCTGCGCTTCATAGCAAATAAAGTATTACCAATCTTCTCAAGTTACCAGTCAGTGAGATAGCTGAAGAAGAATTCCTATGTACTGGCTCTGTCTGTGACTATCAGGTTCACTCATTCTGAGCTTGTTGGAGTCTGTGTTCCTGTTGTGAAATGCCTGCTCAACACCTAACAAGAACTTGACCCCAAACTGGCAGAGATCTGCCTACTAACACATCTGGCTAGAATTATTATTACTTTGGGGGGGGGGTCTTTTTGAAACAGAGTCCCCCTGTAGCCCCAGCTGGCCTGTAACTCACTATTGAGACCAGGCTGGACTTGAACTCACAGAGATCTGCCTGCCTCTGTAGAATTATTTTTAAATGAACGTGATTAACATTGAGGCAAAGATGGAAACCAGTGTGAACTCATTACATAAAGGTCTATCTCCAATTCTCACCAAAGCAATTCCCCAGAAATACTCATGGACAAGCCTGGGCACAAGAGTTTAGTCTCTAATACTACTCTCTATGGGTCAGGGGTTGGGGGAAGGGTGTAGGGGTGTGATTTCACCAGAAAATAAGATGCCTTCAAACACCTGAAGGCAGCCCTCACCACCACTAAGCTGCCACTAAATGGGAGCTCTGGCCAAGTTGCAATCATCCTGGCACTCAAGACAGTAAGTGTGATCTATTTCAACTTGGGTTTAGATTTAGAGCTCAAGGTCTAAACCATCTCAAAATATGCAATCAAGTGGCCAACAAGCTGGTCTGACATGTCCTGCCTGTTCCCTGATGACTTGAGATACAACTGCTGGGCCACTGAGGTCTCCTCATATCAAAGGTAAGAGAAACAGCAAGTGAGGCTACCATGGCCCTATAAGGTTTTTACAAAGGTGATGTGTGCAGACATCTTCAAAGGTGTAAATTCAATCATTAATTTTATGATCACTCTATTTTTGCATGCTTTTGCTGATAATGTAGCTAAGAGAATAATTCACTAACAGTAACACAAATTTTAGGTTAGTATACGTATTAACCTATTGGGTCTTAAAGTATAAACAGCAGTGAGCTCCTAGGTCGACTAAGTACCAGGGGACTATGAGTATCTCTCAAAATGTCCTGTAACTGTGGTGAGTCACCTGTCCTCTTGATGAAGGAGGCCATGGAGACCCCACCAAATGGACCTGAACCAGTGTCCAGTCTACAAAGAGGAGGGTCAACACAGGAAACATTTCCTCCATCCTTCCAAGCGAAGCCAGCCATGGTTGAGCAGGACCTTTGACTTTTCATTACATAGACGGAACTGGTAAAAGAAAGGAGCCAGGGGCTCCTCCCAACCCCATGTGACCCCTGAGGAACAGATCCTCAGACAACCTTAAGAGTAAAAATAAATTGGATTATCTGGGCCAATTGTAGGGTCTTAAACGCCCAAAAGGAAAGTATAACCAAAGATTAGAGGGATCGATATTACTCTTTAAGAGTCCATGTATATAGCTAAAGGCTACATAACAAGAAACAATGCCAGACAGGAGATATCTTCCTTTGAGTTGTTGACCAGGGTGGCCCAAAAGACTCCCAGACAGTAACTCAGAATAAAACTGGGAAAATGAACAGCAGAACCCAATCTTATCTAAAGGAATATTGACAACTGACTGCTGCTAGATGAGAACAGCTGATCTTGCTAAAACAAGGAGCTCTAGATAGGCTGACTAGATTCAGCAGACAGACAAGCACTAGACAAGCTGGGGGCGCCGAGAACACAGTGGACAGTAACAGGGATGACAGTATATGGGCTCCAGTGGGGGCGGGGGAAGCTATGGGAGGGTGCCATTTGGGAAGTAGGTATATAGATGAATTCGATTGTGTGGGATGTTCTATATGATACACACACACACACACACACACACACACACACACACATTTGAGGAGAAAGCATAAAATTTTACTTCATGTTACTTAGTAGAGGTGATAAATATTACCATTAAAATCTACCTGATGACTTTATATCCATACTCAGGTGCCAAGCATCTGAGTGTAACCAACTATGACTAGTAATAATCAGATACATAGAGATTAAAAACATATGTGCAAACATCTAAGTGTTAGTAGCATTAAAAATGTAGGAAACCACATATTTTAAAATGAAAAAAATAACAAAAACAGCAGTGGGTATTCCAGCACAAAACCCTCTTAGATGCTAAAGACCTTTGTCATTTTCCCACCGCTCATTTGCTAGTCCATAGATGCCATCTCTACAGATTACTTTACGATTACAAGTTACCTTCCTCCTCCTCTTACTGGCCTTTTAATTTGGCATGTGGTTATTTTTACCCTAGAAACCTCACAGTATTTTAGCTTCCAGATGTGGTGTTGTGATTGGGGAACTCACACTGAAAATGCTTGTCCGCACGCTGCTTCAAGGGCCCAGATTTCTTGCCCCTCTAACCCTTCTTCCTGAGTTATCTCAATTCCCCAGCAATAGCAACTCTAGCTGCCCCTCCCCTCAGCTACAGACACCAAGGAGCTGCCTCCTGAAGAGACGACCTGGCTCCTCAATGTCAGTCAGAGGCCCAGACCCAAGGCACAATCAACCTGGCACAGAACAAGGACTTGCAAATGCTTAACAAGCCACAGGTCAAACAACAGGACCCACTGATCCCCATACTCTGACTGGATACGGCCACAGAAGGGCACCTTCTACTACAGCCCAGCCTCCTTTTGAGGAACCTGGCTTGATTCTTTAGTGGCTCTGAAGCTAGTGGCCTCTGCACTAGTGCCACAGTTTTAATTTCCTCAGCTTCCTTGAATGGTTGACATTATAATCAGCAATGCTGCTTACTGCTCTTTTCCAAAATCAGTTAGAAACTGTCACACACTTAGTTCCTTGTGACATTTAGAAGCCATTAATCTATTCCCATTATGGTAATCACACTCTCTTTTTTTTCCAATTTTTAAGTATAAACTATTGCAAGTAGCTAAAATTGGTGGAAATGGTAGAATGATGACCAATGTCAGTACTCTCTTCTCAATAAAACAAAGAAAATGCCAGCAAAAATCACTCTAATTTACTGATTAAGAACTCTAGAAATGAAGATTGCAGGAATCCAAGGGTCATTTATTCAAAAAAACCTAATTAGAGCTTACTAAAAACAGCACATTTTGTTCAAACTTGTATTTTCTGCCTTTTTAAAAAAATTAAAAAAAAATTTTTTTTTGTCATTTTGAGACAGGGTCTCCCTGTAGCCCCAGCTGTCCGGGAACTCACTATGGAGACCAGGCTGGCCTCGAACTCACAGAGATCTGACTGCCTCCGCCTCCCGAGTGCTGGGATTAAAGGTGTGCACCACCACGCCCAGCTCATTTTGTGGCATTTTTAACTTACCCTATTCCCATTCCCTTTCCAGCTCCACCAAGAGCTGGGGGTCAAGGGGCAGCAGCCAGCTGCAGGTCAGAGCAAAGGTCCTCCACAACAAAAATACCTGCATTTGAAAAAGAAGAATTTCAGCTTAGAAAATGAAATGTCCACCTCCAGAAACTAGAAAAATGTGATAAAATTAAACCCAATGTAAGCATAAGGAGCAGTAAATATTAGAACAAAAATAAATGAGTGAATAGAAACAATTTGATTCCTTGAAAAGATCACTAAGAAGATTCAAATTACTAAAATAAAGAATAGAGGATATAACTACTAAACTTACAAAGATAAAAAAGATAAGAGCAATAAACATTTTATATCAACAAGTTAGATGAACAAATTCCTATAAACATTAACTAAAGAAATTATCTCAAGAAAAAAAATTAAAGAAAATCTGAATAAGCTTAAAATAAATTGAATTAGCAATAAAAATTTAAAAAGAAAAAAAAAACTTTCCATAAGGAAAAGTCCCAAATGAGGTAGCTTCATTGATGAATTCTGCCAAATATTTTTAAAATATTTATTATTTTTATTTTATGTGTATGTGTGTATTGCCTGCACGTATGTGGGTGCTGGAACTGAGGATGGTTGGTAGCTGCCATGTGGGTACCTGCCAAATATTTTTAAAAGAATCAACACTAATCCTTCACTAACTCTTCCAAAGAACACATGATATGTGCCATTCCATTCTATGATAGTCTATGAGGCCAACAATAACTGATGCCAGAATCATATAACGACCTCAAAAGAAACCTACTAATACCTCATAAACACAGAACACAACAAAATACTACCAAACTAAATCCAGAAATACATTTAAAAGGTTATACACATGACCACGTGACATTTATCAAAAAATACACGGTTTAGCATTTAAAATTTAATCAATATGATGGTGTTGGTTGCACACCTAATAATCTCAGTACTTGGGAAGAGGCACAGGAGAGCCAGGAGGATTTCAAGTTCAAGGGCACGCTGGTATACATAACCAAGAACTATAATTTCATAAACTAAGGGTTGGAAATGCAGCTCAGTGATAGAGCACTTGTTTAACGTGCATAAGGCCATGAGCTGAATCCTTTTTCTTTTTGTCTTTTTGAAACAGAGTCTCCCTGTAGCTCCAGCTGTCCTGGACCTCACTGTGAGACCAGGCTGGCTTTGAACTCACAGAGATCTCCCAAGTGCTGGGACTAAAGGTGTGCTCCACCTTGCCTGGCTACCTTTTTTATTTTTAAAATATGTAACTCTAACACTATAAACTTCCCTCTAAGTACTGCACATTCTGTTAGTCATTCAATCCAAGAAAGTTCCATTGTGACTTACTGAATGATTTTTAGTTTCTTCTCTTTAATGTTAAATAAGCAGGCTCTCCTCTGTGCTTTTATCATTGGTCAGAGAGCATGGTCTGAATTTGATATTTTATAATCAAATATAAGAACTACTTTTTTAATGTTTCAATATTTCAGGGAATATATATTCTCTATTGACCATGGTTTATGTACATGATCAAGTGACAGAACCTGATATAAGTATCATTAAGTATCTCTTATGTATATGAATTTGATCTATCAATTACCGAGAAAGGAGCTTTACAATATCTCAAATGATTGCAGATTTATCAATCTCTCCTGTCAGTCAGTTTTCTCAAAGTTTAGTTTTTATATATTCTATGTAAGTTTTCTATATATTCTGAGGTTTAGTTGTTAGATACAATGATGTACCACCTAATAATGTTTCAGTCAGTGATAAACCACAGCGGTCCCATAAGATTATAATGGAGCTGAGCCAGACATAGTGGAAAAGGTACCTGTAGTCCCACCTACTCAGGAGGCTGGGAAGGGAGAATTTCTTGAGCCTAGGAGTTCAAGGTTAGCCTGAGCTACACAGTAAAAACTAAACAGATCAGATTACAGAAGAGTTGAAAAGTGCCTATTGCTTGTTGATATGACAGTCACTATAATGCCACAGTACGATGCTTTACTCTGTGTGTGGGTGTGTGTGTGTGCATGTACATACAAGCACTGGCATAAACACACTGCCACATGAAAGTGCATATAGTACATCATACTTCACAAAAGACAATAGACGATGCCTACTTTTTAAAATTATTTATTTAATAACCACATGATTAGAAGAGGCATTTCATTACAGCACTAACATATTCAATAACAATTTCCAGAGCAAAGATGCATCTCTTTCAAAATAGGCTGTAAATTTTTAGGTTCACCATTGAATTACCACAGTTATACAATATTGAACTCAGTATAAACACTATAAGACATAAAATTGATTGAGGTTTTAACCTTTAAACAAGATCTCCATTTCATACAGAAAAACTCATTTTTAATGCTACTAACACTTAGATGTTTGCATATGCGTCTCTAATCTCTATATATCTGATTATTACTAGTCACAGTCTGTTACTTTCTGAGACCCTTGGCACCTGAGCATGGATATAAAATCATCAGGTAGATTTCAGTGGCAATGTGTTTCCCTCTACCAATTAACATGAAGCAAATTTTTATGCTTCTTCCTCAAATATAATTCATTCTTTGATTTTTTTTATATTTCATACAGAACATCCCAAACAATCTTATTCATCTGTAGACCCACATCCCAAATGGTATCCTCTCACAGTCTCCCCACCCTCCAACTGGAGCCCATGTATTCTGTCATCCCAGTTACTGTCACCTGTGTTGTTGCCCCCCCCACCGCCAGCAGCCATTCTCCAGTGCTTGTCCATCCGCTGAATCTAGTCAGCCTATCTAGAGTTCCTTGTTTTAGGAAGATCAGCTCTTCCTCATATAGCAGCAATCAGTTGTCAATATTCCTTTAGATAAGATTGGGGTCTGCTGCTCATTTTCCCAGTTTTATGCTGGGTTACTGTCTGGGGGTCTCTTGGGCCTCCCTGGCCAACAACTCAAAGGAAGGTATCTCCTATCTGGCATTGTTTCTTGTTATGTAGCCTTTAGCTATATACATGGACTCTTAAAGAATTATATTGATCCCTTTCATCTTTGGTTATTCTTTCCTTTGGGGTGTTTAAGACCATACAGGTGGCCCAGATAAACCAATTTATTTTTACTCATAAGGTCATTTGAGGATCCGTTCCTCAGGGGTCACATGGGCTGGGAGGAGCCCCTGGCTCCTTTCTTTTGCCCGTTCCATCTACGTGAAGGTAAGTAAGTCAAAGGTCCTGCTCAACCGTGGCTGGCTTCGCGTGGAAGAATGGAGGAAATGTTTCCTCTGTGTTGACCCTCCTCTTTGTAGACTGGACACTGGTTCAAGTCCATTTGGTGGGGTCTCCATGGCCTCCTTGATCAAGAGGACATGTGACACACCACAGTTACAGGACATTTTGAGAGATACTCATAGTTCCCCGGAGCTTAACTGACCTAGGAGGGCAAGAAACAAAAACTGTCCTTTATGTTCCTCTTGTACTGACCAAACTGACCCCACTTTGGGTAAAGCAGCCATCTTAGAAGCTTGGCCATAGTGTATTTCTAGTTCAAGGACTGTTTTCAGAAACCCTGACCCCTTTCTCCCTTTTCCTCCCAGGAGAATGCTGCCGCAGTCACTTGCTCTCTAGACATATAGAAAGCAAAATTATTATATGACTAGCTGCTGATTCTGGCTTCTGTAACTTGCTTGTTTTGCTATTTTAGGGCACCTTGACATGTAGACTGAGATCACCTACCCTGTTAGTTGGGAACACCTTGTCAACATTCCTTTTTGCCATTTTTTAGCTTTAAAAGGTCCCCTTTCCCTCCCCCTCCCCACTGCAGCACTCTAATCTGGTACAGTGACTGCAGTCCAAGCAAGCTTGAATAAAGTCTTTTATCTCGATCTGAATTGAGTCTGGTGGTCTATCCTCAGTAGTCCTGGGGTCCATAACACTCTGACCAAATTAGTATAGGCCTCAAAGTATACTTTTATCATTGTTTTAGAGTACACTGTTTCTACTTGTGAAAAAAAAAATGAAGTTAAAGTAAAGCAGCCTCAGGTTCTTCAAGAAGGAGTCCAGAAGAAGGCACTGTCATCATAGAGGATGACAGCTCCATGCATGTAATTAGCCCTGAAGACCCTCCCTTGGGACAAGACGTAAAAGTAGAAGAGAATAACACTGACAACTACTACTGTGTAGGCCTAGTTAATGTGAATGTCTGTGTGGTTCGTTTGTAATGAATATAATAATTTAAAAAGCTAAGAGTCTTCTATCTACATGGTAAATGGAAGGGCAACCACTGCTGGAGAAAGACAAACCAGGGGACAGGGCAGTGTGTTGGGAAGTATGTGTTAGGAAGTGTGGCTCTCACAGGAACAGACAAGAAACATATCCCCCCCAGCAAACCAAAGCAAAAGTAAAAGCTTCTGACCAAGTGACACTGTGTGTGTGACACCCTTGCTATCCTGGCAGAACCCTCCTCGAGCTGAAAAGGAAAATACAGAAATCCGAGGCTGGGGAAATGGTCTTGTTGATTTCAGTTACAGCATGGATGTGAAGTATTGCCCACCGGTTCCTGTGCTTGAACACTTGTCCCTAGCTGGAAGCACTATTTGAGGACAGTGAGGTCTAGAGAGAAGTGGAGCTCTGAGGAAAGGTAGGTCTTGTGATTATATTGAAGCCCCACTTCCTGACATTCTGTTTCCTGGTCTGTTGAGATGTGAGGAGACCCAACAGAATGTTCCCACCACCATGTAGCCATCTGCTGCCATACCTTCCCCATGATGATGGACTGTGTTCTAGTTTACTTTCTGTTGCTGTGATAAAACACTCTGACCAAAAGGTATTTGAGAGGAAAGGGTTTATTTTGCTTACACGTCCAGGCCACAGTCACATTGTGGGAAGTCAGGGCAGGCACTCAAGCAAGAACTGAAGCAGAAACCAAGGAGGAACTCTGCTTACTGACTTGCTTCCCAGCTCACTTGCAGCCACCATTCTTATATAGCCCAGGCCCACCTGCCTAGGGATGGCACCACCCACAGTGAACTGGGCCCTTCTACATCAGTTAGCAATCAAGAGAATACCCTCACAGACATGCACACACGCCAATCTACTGAAGG